AGCTAAGTGGTTTTCTCAGCCTGCTTCCTCCCTGCAGAACTTCTCAGACGCAAAGTCCTCACGGTGTACTCCCTTGGTCTTTTCTGGTCCCATCTAGCAAGCAGTGTTTCTGCTACCACAATTCTCTTAAAAACTTTGCGTCTCCTGTGAATTTTATTGGAGTTAATGCATTAGAAAAGCCACACTCACAAATCTTTCTGAGATAAGCTTTTCACCTTGGGCTTCCTGTACATCTGTTACAGAAAAATGCCTTTAAAATGTAAAATTCTTACACTCATACGATCCTTAAAGGAATTTGAGGCACCACCTTCGATCTTTCCAAGGTCTTAACAAAGGGTCTTACAGGCCTGGCTTCCTCCTTAGACCCTGTTTTCCTGGCAGCACCCTGGATTGGATATCAGCCCAGAAGCCATTTGTCTACTTTAGCATTATTTGACAATTGGGCATGTGGGGAGGCCGTAAATGGGGAACAGATATTTGAACCCGTAAGTCCTGGTTTGTTTATATTTAATAGTCTTTCTTCAGCTCAACTCTCTCGCCGATTTTGCTTTCAGCTGCTTTGTAGCAGAAGTCCCCTTTCCTCCAGGGTTCAGTGTCATTTTCTTCACTTGCCTGGAAGCCCTTGCTGTTGGCCTCTTCAAGGGCCATCAGGCTTCCACTCAGAGTCCCTTGGAGGCCCTTTCGGTTTTCATTCTTACGTACAAATTCTACCTATCTCTGGTTTCAAAAGCACTTCTACTGTTTTAGGGTTTTTTTTCCCCAATGACAAAATCACATTTTTAATATCAGCCTCTGTGCCAGTTATTTATTGCTGCATAGTAACCCACCTCAAAACCTAGCAGCTAAAAACAGCCTTTATTTTGTTCACAAATCTGCAGTTTAGGCAAGGCTCAGTGAGGCCAGGTCGTTTCTTCTCCACTTGACATCGGCTGGGATGACATGAAGCTGGGGACTAGAATCGTCTAAAGGCTGGTTCATGCACACGTCTGGCAGTTGAAGCTGGCTTTTGGCTGGGACGTTAGCTGGGGCAGTCCCAGCTGGAACACCTGTGTGACGACTCATCATGGGGCCTGGGCTTCTTCACCACGTGTTGGCTGAGTTCTAAGGGTGAACTTCCCAAGGGAGAGAGTCAGGTGGAAGCTGTACCACATCTTCTAACCTAGCCTTGGAAGTCACAGCACTTCCACCATATTCTATTCTCTAGAAACCAGTTACTGAGGCCAGCACGTATTTAGGGGGAGCGAATTTCATGGGAGAAGCATCAGAGAATGTGGTTTTAAAACCACCAGATCCACTCACCTGTCTTAACCAAATAATCATTGTACCTAAAGGAAAGTAGTTCTTCCCAACTCAGTATCACTGAAATACCAGCAAGTTTTTGTGGTGGTGTTCCTATTGTTTAGCATGTTCTCTTATTTTGTGGAAGATAACAAAGGATTACAAGATACCACTATTAAATTAAGGCATTTTTTTGTTCAAAAAAATGTATGGATCAGCTCACTAAACTTTTATCCTGAGAGATGAGATTTCTCCTTAAACCTGAGAATCATTTCTCCAAGGAATACAATTCAAACTAGCATAAAACATTTGTAGTTCAGAAAAAGACCTATGGCATTAGAATCCATATTTCCAAGATTCATTAGAGTCTTATTTTCAAAGTCTTATTTTGGGAGGTATGTATTGACTCAGGCCCAAATAACTCAATATCATATCCCTGAAATTTTTAAAAAAATTATGGAGTGATGGGGCCGGCCTGGTGGCATAGTGGTTAAGTTCATGTGCTCTGCTTTGGCGGCCTGGGGTTCACAGGTTTGGATCCCAGGTGTGGACCTAGCATCATTCATCAAGCTGTGCTGTGGTGACATCCCGCATAAAATAGAGGAAGATTGGCACAGATGTTAGCTCAGGGCCAATCTTCCTTACCAAAAAAAATAAGTTAATAAAATAAGAATTATGGAATGTTAAGATGGGTGGAAGAGGTAAGAGACTTTCTACTAAGAGGTGACTTATAGTCATTTTATGGAGGAAAGAAGTGAAACAATCATGGAAAAATAAGAGGATAAAATCAAGTGCAAACACTGTGTGGCAAAGATGATGATAGTAAAGGATATACTTTTGTGATTCCTGATGGTTTTAACTTTTTCCTTGATTTTCTGAGTAATTCAAGTTTCCATGTTCTAAGACTCTACTACAGTATAGATAACATTTTATTGCAACTGAATTTATTTCACAATTTGATACCAATTTTGAGTTAGACTATTCTCAGTCCACTTCCTTCACACCAAACGACATTATTTTATTCATGCAGATTGATGATCTTACAGTAAAACAAGAATCTGCATCTTCAAAATGTGTAAATGTGGATGCAGAAAATCAAATTCTTTTATAAGAGTTGTTATGTAGGAAAGCAATACAAAAGAAATGTAAAAAACTGGAAAAGAATAAAAAGAAGTTGGAACAAGAAGTAGTAAACCTCAGAAGTCATATAGAAATGAATATGGTGGAACACGGTCGAGTAGAACAGCATGGATGGGAGATTGAAGAAAGAGCAAGACAGGAGACAGGAGAAAAATTAAAAGAAGTCAATGTATTTTTGTAGGTTAGTTTATTGATCTGCAATGTGCTTTAGCTCATTTTATTTCAAAATACATTTTGGATATATACCTTGTATGTGTTCCCTCTACTTTTCTTTTCTTTTTCTTTCTTTTTTTTTTTTTACAGTGATGCTCACAGCAGCTTCATTCTTTTCATTTTGACATTTTTTTTTTTTTTTACTGAGGAAAGATTGGCTTGTAACATTATATAAATTTCAGGTGTACATCGCTATATTTTGATTTCTGTGTAGACTACACCATGCTCAACACCCAAAGGCTAATTACCATCCATCACTGTACACATGTGCGCTGTCACCCCTTTCACGCTTCTCCCTCCCCGCTTCCCGTCTGGTAACCACCAATATAATCTCTGTATCTATGTGGGGTTTTTTGTTGTTGTTATTTTTATCTTCTATTTGTGAGATCATACAGAATTTGACTTCCTCTGTATGACTTATTTCACTTACCATAATACCCTCAAGTTCCATCCACGTTGTTGCAAAGAGCAAGATTTCATCTTTTTTTATACTTGGGTAGTATTCCATTGTGTATAAATACCACATCTTCTTTATCCATTCCTCCCTTGATGGGCACTTAGGTTGTTTCCAAGTCTTGGCTATTGTGAATAATGCTGCGATGAACATAGGGGTGCACATACCTTTATGCATTCGTGTTTTCATGTTCTTTGGATAAATACCCAGCAGTGGAATAGTTGAATTGTATAGTAGCTCTAGTCTTAATTTTTTGAGACATCTCCATACTGTTTTCCATAGTGGCTGTACCAGTTTACATTTCCACCAGGAGTGTATGAGGGTTCACTTTTCTCCACATCCTCTCCATACTTGTTATTTCTTGTCTTATTAATTATAGCCATTCTCATGGGCATGAAGTGATATCTGATTTTAGTTTTGATTCGCATTTCCCTAACAATTAGTGATGTTGAACATCTTTTCATGTGCCTGTTGACCATCTATATATCTTCTTTGGAAAAATGTCTGTTCAGATCTTTTGCACATTTTTTAATTGGGATGTTTGTTTCTTTGTTGTTGAGTTGTATGAGTTCTTTATATATTTTGGATATTAACCCTTTATCAGATATATAGTTTACAAATGTCTTCTCCCAATGGTTAGGTTGTCTTTTATTTTGTTGATGATTTCCTTCGCCTTGAAAAAGATTTTTAGTTTGGTGCAGTCCCATTTGTTTATTTTTCCTTTTGTTTCCTTTTCCTGGTGAGACATGGTATTTGAAAATATGCTGCTAAGACCAATGTCAAAGAGAGTACTGCCTCTGTTTTCTTCTAGAAGTTTCATGGTTTCAGGTCTTACATTCAAGTCTTTAATCCATTTTGAGTTAATTTTTGTGCATGGTGTAAGATAACGGTCTACCTTTCTTCTTTTGCACGTGACGGTCCAGTTTTCAATATCATTTAATGAAGCAACTTTCCTTTCTCCATTGTATGTTCTTGGTTCCCTTGTCAAAAATTAGCTATCCATAGATATGTGGTTTTATTTCCAGGCTCTCAATTCTGTTCCATTGATCTGTATGTCTGTTTTGGGGCCAGTACCATTCTGTTTTGGTTACTATAGCTTTGTAGTATATTTTGAAATCAAGGAGTGTGATGCCTCCAGCTTTGTTCTTTTTTCTCTGAATTACTTCGGATATTTTGGGTCTTTTGTTGTTCTGTATAAATTTTAAGATTCTTTGTTCTATTTCTGTGAATAATGTTGGTGGAACTTTGGTAGGTATTGCATTGAATCTGTAGATTGCTTTAGGAAGTATGAACATTTTAACTGTGTTAATTCTTCCAATCCAAGAGCACAGAATATCTTTCCATTTCTTTGTGTCTTATTTGATTTCTTTCAACAATATCTTATAGTTTTCAGTGTATAGGTTCTACTTCCCTTACAGCAATTTGTTTTGTAGATTTCTGGAAGGAAGGTGGCATTTGTTTCTTCCTTTAAATATTTGTTTCCATCATTATTATCACTAAATTGACCTTTCAGAATGATTCTCACTAGAGAATCATTTTATTTTTAAGACCAGTTGTTATAAAACACAACTATTAGGAGAAAAAGAAAAAATTGTTATTTAAAAATTGTACCATACTCTTTAATTATTCTTAAGTTATATTGTTCAATTTTTAAAATTTTAAGTGGATTCTATTATTCTTTGAATTATCAGATTACATGAAGGCTAATATAAGAATGATTCAACTTTATTTTTATAATTCAGATTTAATTCAGTTGACATTGATGGCAAATATTTTAAACTTCAGACTTTTTTTTTCATGTTCAAAATTGCTCTCTGATCATTGCCTCAAAACCAAAAGAAACAAATATTCTATAATTATTCGGATTATAATTATTTCAAAAATGTATCCTTTTAATTTCTTTTAAATTCAAGCAGCAGCTCAAGAAAACTTAGAGCAGTTAAGAGAGAATAATAATGCCTCAATAAGAAGTCAGATGGAACTCGGAATTAGAGATCTGGAATCTGAACTCTCCAAAATGACATTTCTCAAGAAGATTTTAATAAAACAGAATTGGAGAAGTATAAGCAGCTCTATCTAGAAGAATTAAAAGTTAGAAAATCATTGGCAACTAAACTAAACAAGTAAGTCAAAACACAGAATCACAGAAAATAAATTAAGCTCAGTAATTTCCTCTAAGGCATTATTTGTATCAAGCCAAAGTCATGAGCTTAGTAGGAAGTGAAAGCTAACTAGATAGTATAATTATGGATAGTGATGTTAGTAAATGAACTTACCCTTAACGTGTTAGTCCAGGACATCTTGCATCTCTCCCCCTTTTTTTGGTTTTACATGACTTTATTTTTTGCCCTTAATATTTTCATAGCGTTAACCTGATCTGCTAGTCTTTTAACTCAGTGTTTTTGAAGCTTTATAATTTAGACAGAAATATTGTAAGAAAATTGCTTGTCAGAATTCCCCTAAATGGAAATATTAACGAATTTAACTGCTTTTTGGAAGATTACAACTTAAACCCAAAGAGTCAAGTACCACCACTCTGGGCACATTCTGATGCCTGGTGAATTAACTGTCTTGATTGGGCTCTTCAGTGTCATTCCTAGAGGGTCCCTTAAGACAAACTCTCTTCGTGTTTTTCTATTCTATAAAGGGATCCATGTGAATAGGGACAGATTGTCCTAGGGATGAAGGGCACTGTAAGTCACAGAGTGGCTGAAAACAATACCACCGTCTCCTAAGGCGGGTGTGGAGGACAGAAAGGGCAGATGGCACCTCCAGTGCCTTGGTGACAAGGTTGGGAGCTAGTTGCCCAGCTTGGCTGTCTCCTTCTCCTTTAGAGGTTGTTGCTCTAAATTACCAAATGCTTCATTTCTCTGAGGTAATGAGTGAAAGTTACAAGGGTGGCGAAAGCAAATGCTTGAAGATGTCTTTGAGGGATTTTTTTTTTTTAAATCTCTAAACTGGTTTACTAAATACAATAGCATCCTCCAGGATCCTGGAAGGAGGGCCATTGCGGATGGCAGCTGTTCAGGCATCTCCAGCACTGATGGCCATTTCTCTCCCCTCCCTACTTTGAATTACTTATTAGTTGAGAACCCCCTAGAAACATATGTACTTCTTTAGACCATTTTTAAACCTATAATTGTATATAGTAGGTCTGCTCTGACACATTTTCAGTGTTAACACACTGTTTAATGGGAAATTCCACTTTCTATTATGGCAACTTTAAAAAAAAAGCAAGTTATACAGGGATCATTTTAGGGAACACGACATACTAAGCATTTGTCTTTTGCAACCTTCCTAGGAATAATGAGAGGCTGTTAGAGAGCAGCACGGAACTTCTCCTGAAGAAACAGCAGAACAGGTCTTTACTCAGCGCTGTGACTGCGAGGCCGGTCCTGGATCCACCTTGTGCCAGAAGAGGTACATTTGCTTAACTTTATTCAGTAAATACAACCAACACATTTTAAATCTCTTGAAAAGCTGCATTTAAACTCAATTCTAGAAATGAAATGTTGTTGCCTAGCAACCAAAGGTTTACTTTGAGATGTTTCGGCTTGCTTTCTACTTGATTTCAGTTTGGTGGTGGTTCACACCAATTTTAAAGTTTTGGTGCACCCCGATTTTTTCATCCCTAAGCATAAGTGAATGATTGGCATCCAAAAACTTACCCACATATGGATGTTTATTATTTAAAGAAATCCAGGGTAAATCCTTTTTATGAATTAAATAAACTCGTAACACTAAAAAGATTAATTCCTGTTTTTAAGTTAAAAGTTGTGTCAATTTCTTACATGAGAACACATCCTTAATTACGACTTTACTTACAGCATTTTCATCTCAATTTTTACAAAACGTGTCTATGGCTGGGCAATTGTAGAACATTTTCTAAATAGTTAGATCAGGCAAATATTTTGATTTTTTAAAATGAAATTCTCTTATGTCCCTCACTTGAATGATTGATGACTGAGATAGCAATGATGTGAAGAGTCTTTAAATAGCAGCTAGTTTTCACTGTGTATCATTGTTATTAAAATGTCTGTTTCAATCCATGAACGATGGCTTGTGGTTTTGATGGTGTTTTGATGATCTTACTGCAAAGAAAAGTAACATAGGCCCCCATTAAACTGAACAAGTTTTCTCCCTGCTCGTAACATTTAGATTTATTGCCTCTGTCACTGTGACATGAAGCTTAGCCTTGCCACCTGATACAAACCTAGTGGTAATAGATTACTGCAGATCTGTTTTGCTAATTTTTACCTTCAATTTTCACATTCTAGTTTAATTCTGAGATGTTCTGTCCTGTATATCACAAGTGATTTTATTCAGTTGTGTTATTTAATTGCATTATTATAAAATATAAAAAGTTAACATTAGCTGGAACAGACATATCACTAGTTGGACTTTCTTGCACAAAGAATTTTTTTCTAAGAATTGAAAACTTAAAAATTTATTTCAGACAATATTTTCAGATAAAATTTCTTTCGCTTAAAAATTTTTTATGTTCAAGAGTATTTTAGTATTTGTGTGGCTAACACAATGCATGGCCACAATAGTTACTCAATAAATATTCTATAAATCTGTTCTATAAAAGAAGACTAAATTTTACATTGATTGATTTTAGACTTTTGGTGCATTACCAACACTTTCAAAAAATTTCTAATGATTTATTTAAGTAATTTTTTAATTTCTCCAATGGGCATTCAGTTGAGCAACTCTTTTTCTATGGTTATACAAATACAGCAAAGCTAAAACAATGACTATTCCCAGGACTTCAACATTTACATGACAGAGCCTTGTCTCAACAGATGAGTCATATTTCTTCCCGACTAAAACTAGGCCTCCTGTTTATACCACCAAGGCAGTGCCTGTCTGCTCCGAATTCCAACTCTAATCAAACTATCACAGTAGTTATGCTAGTTTCTCACAAGACAGGGACCGAGTTTAATAAACTTGTTTATTTTATCAGTTATATGCTCTCTGTAATCCCTCATGTCTCTACTTCGTGTTGCCCACTTAGACAAATGCCATGTAGTCATTTGATCCTTTGAAAGATTCGGTAATCTCTCAACTTCTTCCAATTTTTTTTCTCTCATTCATTTTTTTCTCTGTACTTAATTCTTCAGCTCATTGATCGACAAATTCTCAGTTCTCCTTTCAGCAGCAAAATACATGTATTTAATCTTTACAAACTGACAAATGTAATTTCCTTTACATATTAACCTATTTACAATTGGATAATGACTTGCAGTGCTTTCAATGGGCAAGCTTACTTGATTTTATTACATTTTTGTATTTATCATATTTATTTTTATAACTTTTGAGTACTCAAAATTGAGAATAATATCAAATTTTAATTTAGAAGTATTGTTAGTGCCTACAAACAGGTTCTTTACCCACCACACAAGAGGGGCCAAATAAAACTGGAACGCCATGCTTATAGCAAGGAAAGAGTTTTTATCTTGGATGATGTCAGCTGGGAGATGAGAGCGAGCCCTCAAATTTGTCTCATTTCTGATTGTGGGGATGGGGAGAAGCCTGTGGCCTTGGGTGCTTTCCCACCAGTCTGTGTTCAGCCTCAGGAAGCTGCTTACAGGGAGGACGATGATAAGGGAATGTGCAGGTGGGTGACCTTGGCTGTTTGTCTCCATGGCGGACATTGGATTCTGGAGCCAGGGAGCCAGGGAGTAAGCACGGAAAGAGTGTTTTGGTGTTAACCCCATATATGATGGGTTTAACGTAGGGGAACTGATATCAGGCTGGCATCAGTATCAATTACTGAAATCAGTTAGTGAAATATATTAACTTTGGGAATATGCGTATGTGTGTGTGAGTGTGTGTGGTGTGTTCATGTTTATCAAATTGGTCTCAAAAAGAGAATGCAGCATTATTTTCTAACCTGTAACCTCAAATATAATTTAATGGTAGCCTATCAATAAAGTATCATTGAATGAATGAACATATATTTGTATTTGCTGTGCTTTGCTATTGCTATTGGCTTCACTATATTCCTCCCTCTAAAATGTTCCTTTTCACTTTCCCCCTCATTAAAGTGGGGGTTGTTTTGAAGAATGTACATTAGTTATAAGGTCAAGGAAGAAGAAAACAGTTCTGTTAGTGTTGTACAGGCATCTTTCTTGGAGCTGTGGAGGGGTAGGTGGCAAATGACCCTCCTCTCCCCTTCTGAATTCAGAACATGGGAGTCAGGCAGCTGGAGAGCAACTTACCAGCTGTATTACTCACACCTACTGATTAAGGGGAGGATGTGGTTGAGGTGTGCAGCCACAGGGGGCTTCCAAACGCTTCATCCTCCTTAGATGCTTCCCCACACATAGTTGTAGGCGGAGGAAGCAAATGTGCGACACCTCCCCAGGCCGGCCCCCGGGGGCAGGCTGCTCACTGCTGAGAGGGGAGCAGAACCGAATTCACATCACTGTGGGCAGACACGTGTTTGCAAAAAAGAGACTCAGAACCAAGCAAGCACTTCTTACTTCCTTCTCTCAAATTCACTCACTAAGTAAATCTCTCCTCTCAAGAGGAAGGCAGAGAGAATGCAAGTCCTCACGTGGAAACGTGAGGCCAGGGAAATGAAGGAGAACCTATAATTTTTGACTGGATTTAAATTATAATTGAAATTAAGCTCATGTCTTTTGTACATACCAACTAATGATGGTGGGACAGAAGTATGCTGGATGGTAAAGAAAAATCTCTTTTGTGTTTTGAATTTTACTCTAAATAACCCACAGCATGGATAATTGATTTGCTGATTGATTTTGGTAACCAAGTTTTATTCGGAGGAAATGAAAATAGTTCTTTTAAGGAAGAATTTCCTCAATTTCAGCTTGTTTGGTTCACTAAAGATTTTCTCCTTCAACCTCCTTGTCCTGTGGTTAAAAAAATTGTGCTTTATAAGTTGACTATATTGACTGATATTAATTTCAGTTCCTTCATATTTATTCATGCCTTTAAAACTTATAATTCAGTTAGAGAGTTACTATTTCACATCTTGTGTCTAAACATTATTGAGTTACATGACAGTTTTACATATTCATTTTCTCTGAGTTAGAGTTAAAAATCTATCTATGTTTTCCTGACTATGAGGTAGTGGCTGGGATAGAACTCTAGGCTCCATAAGAAAAACGTAAAGCCCCTTCCTGGCCTGGAGGTGGTTGACTTTGTGACCTCAGGCAAGCTACAATCTCTCTGAGCCTTTCTTGCCTCTTATGTAAAATTAGGGATTTTGACTAAATCAGTACTTTCATACCTTAAAATTTTTTTTCAAAGAATAGAATCTTTTTTTAAAAAAAGATTGCATGAAACTGTGTCATATAAAAAAGAGACAGCAGCGCTGACGAGCTAGAGGAGGGCTGGAGACTCTGAGGCTGACTTCTTTATCCCTCAATCCTGCAGCGTCCCCAGTGGAACCTTCTATGGGGCGTGGCTTGAAAACTACCAGTTAGGAGAGAATGCTTCTAGTTAAAATTCCTTTGAATTAAAATTCACTGATACATCATTTTCCTCTGTATAATTTTCTCAGCATTCTATGTTTTTGATAAATGGAAAAATATTTCAAAAATTGCAGATGTGCCCTCCTTATTAATGTTGTACTTTAAGCTGCTTCCACCATCTGAAACACAATCTTCATCTGGAAATAAACAGAAGGGTCATGGAAGTAAATATTTAGGAAAAGAGCTTTTAGGGGAAATATGGTAACATTACATTAGTACTTCCTAATTAATCGTGTAAAAATGTAATTTACATTTTACATAGTGTTTATTAATGGTATATAAATTGTTTCAATAAAGTCTTCTCCCTTCTTTTGGTACTGAGCTATCGATTTTACAAGGCCTGTCTAGTAAGGTTGTCACATTATTCATTTTATAAGGCCTGTCTGTAATGCTGTTGTCAAAAAAGTGTTATGAAAATTTTGGGAAACATGTTAGCCAAAAAATTTCTCTTCACATCTAAAATTTAGAAAGATATTGGATATCATGTTATCATTATCACTACTGTGACCCTGTTTGGGGCATTTAGTGAGAGGATACCTCTTACAAGAAAGATTTAAATAAGAACACTCTAGATGGGAACACTTGAAATACAGTCTAAAATATCCTTACACATTTCATAATTAAGTAGATAACTATAACTAGTCAAATGTTTCAGAAAATCAGCCCTGATTCCTGGAAAGGAAACATGTTACAGTTAAAGACATACATTGTTTTCTTTATTTCTAATTCCAGAAAGTCATAAATCAGAAACCAAGTTTGAAAACTGGCTCTAGCCTATATTTTTCCTTTCTTCAAGCAGATTTTCTGAAATCTTTGTGTCCATATGAATAAAGAAATGTTTCAATCATAATATAGTCAGCAAAATATCTTCACTTAATTTTTTGTCAGTAGATTTTCACGTGACATTAGGACACTGCCAGTTTCTTCATTTTATGTATTTAAGATTCTGTGCTGAAAAATTAATAACATAGATCAGACATTTAGATTTTAATTTTCTAAAAGTGAAGAATGGAAAGTTTATTTTAAGGAAAAATCCATTGAAGTAAAAAACTGATTAAACTTTTATAAACGGCAGGTTTTTTAAGAATTGAAAAGTAACACGTTCAGTACAAACTATAACTTGAATTCTTTAAACTTCTTTGCACCAATGAGATCAAACAGCACCCTTCTGAAGTTAGGTATTTTCAGTGGACCAATACTAATCATACTTGTTATCAGATTCATCTAAATGGCATTACATATATATGTTCTCTATTATCTAAAATTACAATAAATAGGAATTTATTTTCTTCTATTTATAGATTATTTTTTTATTTAGGCACTCCCCAAGTTAGGTCTAGTCTCTTAAAGTATTATTTAAAGGTGACATTTCATAAGCTATATATCATTCCTGTGATAATGTCTCCTGTTTAACTTAAACATTATAAATAATATTTGACTTATTTCAGATGCAGCAGGAGTTGGAAAAAATATAACTAGAGAACTAGAAGAAGGTGTGTTGCCAAAATTTATGAACTAAATTTAGATATCAGTGATTTCTGAAATAAACTGTAGATAGTAAATGGCATCCCTTTCCAGTGTTTGGATAATAGATATGGTGTTAAATGTTTCTTTATCATATATAACTAATGAAAAATGTGACAGTATAAACATTTGTAATGAAGAATATACCTATTCCTCGTTTATTCATCATGTTCCCTAGCTTTTTAAAAATCTCAGAAGTCGACGTATCCTTTGTATTTCTGACAATCCCCTCCCTTCACTTCTGCCGTCCCTATGGAACTGTCAACCTGCACCCTGAAACTATTCTCAGAAAATATGGGCTTCATCCACTTCTCACGTTTCTGAAGGTGACATAAGGCCAAAAAACCAGACTCACCTAATAATACTTAGTCAAGCAGTGACAGTTCTTATAGCTGTCACTTGATTGTGACATTTAAATTTCTAGTCATTGATGTACACTGACTGGTTTACCTTTTGCCCTCAGGAAAAATTCTGAATTCCTCAGCATGGAATAAAAACACACAAACCAATTTGGTTCTTGCCAAATTATTCAGCCTTATCTCTTGCTCCTTACCCTCCTCTGCCCCTTTGCTCTGGTATGTCCCCAGACTGGGCTATTTGTCACTCCACAGTGGTCTTCCTCCCCTCCAGTCTCTGCGTATGCTTCTTCCCTCTGACACATTTCCTCTTTGTCCTTCAGGTATCGACTTACATATCACCTCTGCCAAAAAGCTGAAAACATTAACACAAAACTGGGAGTCCCTGCTGTGTGCTCCACTAGTGCCCCGTTTTATCCCTGTCACAGGATGTATGAGTCTGTGTGGAAACTGCCTGTTCGTCTGTGTTTTCGGTTGATAGTACATGCCTGCTGAGGGATGGACTGTGTCATCTTCGTCTTGTAACTCCAGTGCTGGTTACAGTACCTTAGCACATGGTTGTTGAATAAAGAAGTGGAGAATGAGAAAACCGGAAGCTCTGAAACTTAGCAACAATAGCAGTTAATTCAGTGTGCAGCCCCGGGCAAATTATTATGTTTCATAGTCATCTTGTATTTTGTATTGTGGTCTTATGTAGATATTTTTCATTCTTCTTAACACTTACAAAGGTCTTAACCTTTTTTTTTTTTTTTACTAATTTATACTTAGTTAACTTTAAAGTATTTTAGATAAAGACTATAATTCTTTCTTCTTCTTTCCAGCTGCTGCTGAATTTGAGCCTGGACCCTGCAGAGCTTCTCCTCTGGGATCTGCTGATGAGTCAAATCTAAATCAAGATCTAGTTTTGAAAACATCACAAGAATATGTACAGATTTTGAAGAAAAATTATATGATCTGAAAAATAAATAGCAAAAATTTATTTACTGGGCTGTTTACATAATATTTTGTTTCTCATTAAACATATGATGTGCTAATCTTAAGGGAAAATATTTTTGTGTCATATGTGTATGATAATTATTTATACAGTATTTTAAACTCTGTTTCTTGTCATCTAACTAACTTTTAAGCAAATTTTGGGAAGGAAAACCAGCACTATTGAGTTTTACATACTCAAACTGCCCACATGCCAGCTGTTTGAACAACACTCAAACAACCAAGTTGTCATTAACACTTTAATGGTGTTAATTGATAGATTTTTTTGTATTTTCCAATTTTTATCACTATATATAGACCTAAAGACATCATTTGATATACCGTTGCTGTGACTATTGCTAGTGTTTGGATGTGTCACAATTGTTATAGTGCCATAAAACTTATTATATATAATTTTAATTTAATTTAAATTTGTTTAAAGATTGGCACCTGAGCTAGCATTTGTTGCCAATCTTTTTTTTTCTTTTCTTCTCCTTCTCCCCAAAGCCCCCAGTACATAGTTGTATATTCTAGTTGTAGGTCCTTCTGGTTGTGCTATGTTGGACGCCGCCTCAGCATGGCTTGATGAGCGATGCCATGTCTGTGCCCAGGATCTGAACCTGCAAAACCCTGGGCGACTGCAGTGGACCACGCGAACTTAACCACTAGGCCCCGGGGCTGGCCCCTATAATTTTAATTTTAAACACCGATTCATAGATCTTTCCTCGTAGAGAAATAATATTTGCCTAAGACTGTTTAGCTTTTCTATTTATTTATGTTTTTAATTTACTTTTCGAAACAGTCTTAAAATTAGAGAAAGTTCCAAGTTTTAGTAAAGAACATTTTCCCCCTGAACCATTTGAGAGTAAATTGCTAACATTATGCCATCATCCCTGATTCCTTTAGTGTTCATTTCCAACAAGTCAATACCTTCTACATAATTACCATACAACCTTCACAATCAGAAAATTAACACTAAAGTATTCCGTCATTTAATCCTCATATTCTTTTCAAGTTTTACCACTTGTCTGTGGCGTCCTTAATAGCACAAAGATCCTGTTCAGATCCATGATTGCATTTAGTTGCCGTGTCTCTTAGTCTCCCTCAGTCTGGAACACTTCCTCAGTCTCTCCGTGACTTTCATGACCTTGAATCTTTTGACGGGTCTGTTCCAGTAACGTAGACCATCCCTCAGTGGGGATTGTTCTGATGTTTCCTCACGACCGGTTCAGACCACACCTTTTCACAAGAGTATCGCAGAAGTGGTCCTGAACTCTTCTCATCGCGTCCGATCATGTGACCCACAATTCTGATTTGTCCCAGTACTGCTGGTGTGAATGCTGACCACTGAGGGTAGTATCTGCCGGGTAATGTTAGTTTTTCACTTTACAATTAATTAGTATTTTGGGGGGGAAGTAATTCGAGACTATGTAAATACCTCTGATCCTCATCAAACTTTGTATTTATTTATTTACTTGTATCAATATGGATTCATGGTTTATTTTATTCAATGGGCTATAATTTGTTAATGTTATTTTTAAAAATTTGCTTTTCTTTTAGAAACGTTCTGTTTTGACAATTTCAGATTTATAGAAAAGTTGCAAGAACAGCATGAAGAATCCTAGGATATCTTTCCCCAAATCTTAACATTTTACTATATTTGCTTTATCTTTTCTCCCTTCTCTTCCCCTCTTTTTAGATAAATATAAATATAGGTATATAATATAGATTTTTTTTCTGAACCATTTGTAAGTTGCAGACACGATGCCTCATTATTCCTAAATACTTATACTTTAGTGTATATTCCTGAGAACAAGGAATTATCTTACATAACTGTAGCATAATTATCAAAACCAGGAAATTAAAATTGCTTCAATATTAATATCTAACATATAGACCTTACTCAAATTTTTCCATGTGTCTCAATCATATCCTTATGGGCAAAGAAAATCCAAGATGCTGTGTTGTGTCCAATTGTCCTGTTTCTTTAGTCTCCATTAATGTGGGACAGTTCTTCAGTCTTCTTTTGATTTCCATGACATTTACATTTTGAAGAGTATAGGTCAGTTATTTTGTAGACTTCCTCTCAGGTGGGGTTTGTGTGATGTTCCCTCATAAGTAGATTCGGGTTATGCCATTTCAGCAGGAATGTCACATTAGTGATGCCGAGTTCTCCCCAGTGCAGCAAATCTGGAGGCACATGCTGGGTCCATTGCTGGCGATGTTGACTTTGATCATTTGGTTAAGAAGTGTCTGCCAGGTTTCTCTATGGTAAAATTACTATTTACCCTTTGTATTTCATAAATATCTTGCGTGGAGCTACTGTGAGACTTTGGAAATATTTGGTTACTCCTCAAAACTTCACGCACTAGGTTCAGCATCCAGCGATGATTCTTGCTTGAGTCAATTATTAATATGATGTTTGCCAAACGGTGATTTTCTTATGCTGTCATTCCTTCTACATTGATAAAAAAATAAAACAAAAACCAACCAAATAAACAAAGGAGGGAGAAGGCAAAGCTTATTATTTTGGTGCATAAAATGTTCCAGGTTTGGCTAGTGGTAGCCATGTCAATCTGACTTCATGTCTTTTTGACTTGTCCCCATCATCTTTGAGCGCTTCCTTACTCTCTGGTACAATATGTTCCAAGCCCAACTTAATTATTGATGGGGTTCAGGGCAGGCTGCCCCAGGATGCACCACTCTGGTATGTGGATTATTTCGAGCTGAAGATGACAAAGGCTCAGAAGACTCAGGAAGAACATTTGACCCTCCCCCTGAAACTGCCTAAAAGAATTTAGCATAGAAGGCCTATTCCGGGACGGAGCTCATACCATATGATAGCTATAGTATAATGTAAAATACGTGTGGTAGAAAGACACCAACAAACCCATTTTTTTGGCCCAGCAAAACCTGTTTAACAAACATTTGCATTTCCATCTCCATGGAAATTGTTTCCCCCCCCTCTGAAATCCCAAATCAATACCCCAACATCCTCCTTGTCTGTAGCTGAAGACATTTAAACAGGCAGCGTTGGCCAGACGGCTGAGTTGCTCAGTTTTTCCTGAGTTTCTCCCATGGATACATGTTATTAAACTTTGCTTGATTCTCTTCTGCTAACCTGCATTTTTGATTATTTGACCAGCCATGAGAACCTTAGGGAAAAGTGGGGGGGAATTCTCCCACTTCCCCTACAGTTTTGGCATAGCCAGCAGGATCTCCACTGGCTGGCAACTTGCCTTCTCTGGCTGGCAGGACTGCTTCCTCCAGGGACCGCTGCAGATGAGGAGATCCTGGGTTGCCTGACGAAAGCTGGCAAAAGGTAAGATTTCTTACCCCATCAGCCTCCCAGAATCTCTATTTGCGGGGTCCAGTGGAAGCAAGTGGCGAGAATTTTTTTCTCTTGCTAAATTTAGATTGGCAAGAGAAAACATTTGGGAAACGTTTCTTGTGCAAGTCTGGTAAATTTGGTACAGTACTCTTGGCTTTATTGCTCCTCTTCCTCCCTGAGATAGCCACTGTGTTTTTTCTTTTGTGTCTTGTGTCATAAGAAGGAAATACCATAGGGTAGGACGCAGGCATAGGCCCTATAAGCCTGTTATCCAGGCTGGCCCCACAGGCTGGCGAGTTTGCAGTCTCACCAGACTGGTGTCTATCTAGACAAACTGCTGTGGGTTAACATGCACGTGAAGTGAAAGCTATTGCTTAGGGCATCTCGGAAACCAAAAAGCCCGCAAATTTGGTGGGCGTGGGTCAAGTCGTTAAGAGCCATTAGGGTGCTCACCATCTCAAGAAGTCTCCTGTGGAAGAATGGATCGGGGTAGATGACACAGGTCCCCCACTGACTTCGAGAAAACATCCATGCAACAATGAGATACTCTATAAAACCATACACATTCCCCAACCCTGCAGCATCTCCCTCCTAGGTATTATTCTGGCTCCAAGAGATCCAAGGCTTAGCTAAAGCTGTCATTGGGCATATAAGAAAAAAACACGATAAGGTTTTCCCTCCCATCTTCGTCTATGTCTTGAGAGCTTGGCTTCTTGACCAGTGCAAATATTCTCCTTGGTCTCCATCATACGGCAGGTGCATTTACCAGGGTGCACCTTGACGGCCAGTCAAATAGACTGGGTTTCCGAGCTCTCTCTCTGTTCTGCTATGCCAAGCTCTCAGGGGAATCTGCTATAAAGGGTCCAGTCCATAAGGGCCTTTATCTTCTCAACCTTCGTTACTTGATCGTGCTGGAAAAATCCCATTCCAGTAGCACTGGTATCACAGATTAGCAGGTCTGGGACTGAAGGCGTCCCAGGCTCTCATGGGAGACTGGAGACACTGTTTTCACTACACCATCCCTACCACCAGTGCAATGAAGGTCTTTCCTTTTTCTGACTATTTCTGGGAGTACACTTTGGGATCGTGGGGGCCACATCATCTGCGTCCTCTCCAGGGACCCCTCTTAGAGATTTATTCTAAGCCTGGAAAGTTATCTCTGGGTCTTTCCTTTAAAAGGCTTACTGGAGAGGAAGATGGGCACGGATGTTAGCTCAGGGCCAGCCTTCCTCAGCAGAAAGAGGAGGATTGGCAGTAGTTAGCTCAGGGCTAATCTTCCTCAAAAAAAAAAAAAAAATAAGGCTTATTGGATTGAGTCACTATTGGAATAAATATACAAATGGAGATCCCAGTCGTCAATGGCCAGACGATGGATGGATCTTTTGAATTGGAAAAATTTCCATGTTTGAAAAATATTTTAGAGAGCTCTCATAACAAGCAGCTGCCTTATTGGTATTTATAGGAAGATCAAATTGAAAAGAAACCCCCCAAAATATAATAGCTAGCCTTAGGGAATCTTTTAATAAAATGAAAGAACAGAAGTCAGACTTAGAACAAAGATTAAGAGGCAAATTTAATGAAAATTCCCCTTCTCCTCCCTCCTATGCTCCCCTATATCCCCAGCTCCCTGTCCCTGATTCCCCGGAAGATCTTTTGCGTCTCTGGGCCCCTGGTTCAAACCCTCCCCCTCAGGACTCAGCTCCTCAGCCGGCTCCTCAGCCAGTTCCCTTGGATCTTAGAACGCCAACTTCTCCAAAGGGCATTCAGCTGCCTGTTTTAACTTCTCTCTCTTTAGAAGACTTACGGGGGGCACTCAGGCCTGACCTCCTAGAGAGAGGTATACAGGTTACCTGTGTAAATGCTGAAAGCCGGGAAGTGAATTCAGCAGAAAAAGCCAGGAAAGGCAGAAAGGTTCCCTCTGCTGTCCCTTACAACTCCTCCTACTTTCCAGGGCTCTGTCATCAGGCTCTGCCAGCTTCAGGGGTTCCTATGCAGCGTCCATTGCGGATGTCTCCTGGACCTCTGCTGCAGAGAATTCGCGTCCCCTGGACAGCACCCAATCTATTAAATTATAAACCTCTCCTTCCTCCATTATCAGAAGGTCGTACTAAATTTAGAGA